TACATACATACATACATACATACATACATACATACATACATACATACATACATACATACATACATACATATAATAAATAATTTTATTATATATAATAATATTTTTATTTTTTATGTATAATAGTAAATAATTTTTATAATTCTTAATTTTTTGTCTAAAAAATAAAAAAATAACTTTATACATATAATTTTTATTTTTCAAAAAAACTTGGCTTATAGTCATGCTCAAGCCGAACCGAGCTCGAACTTGCAAATTATTAACCGAGTCGAGCTCGAACTCAAGTCTCTAGATCGAATTAAGTTTAAGCTCGATCTAGAGCCTAATACTATTCCTGCGAGATGAGCTCGAATAGCCAAGTATTCAGCTCAGCTCAGCTCAAATCCACCCCTACCCATAGTCAAGATTTGTAACTTCTCTCTTCCCTTATTAAATCCCTCTTACGCTCTTCTTTGAATTCCTATTAATTCTACCCTAAAATAATGGTATACATTTAATTGTTTAGGTTAAGGACCAACCCTAAGACTTAGACCTCAGGCCTAGACCAATACCTAAGTTAAAGCCCAAGTTTATCAACCCGAACCTTAACTAAGATCAGCTTAATGCCATCTAGTTCGGCCACTTCAGCTTTTATAAATAGATAAAGGGAGGTGAGTGGACCGATGACTTTTCAATTTGCTTTCAAAATTGAAACGAGGAATTCTAATGCTACAAGTCTTGGTCCATAGTTTTTAAGGCACCAAGGCGATGCTAGGTGAGGGATTTTTTTAAGTAAAAAATATATATTCTAGGGTAGTTTCCTAGGTTCTATAACCATATTTCTTTAATAAGCCCATAATTTTCATAAGAAAAACATAAATTTCATGTTAAAATATCAAAAATCAATATATTCATAAGAAAAAGAAGAAATAAAAGAAAATTCAAAAAATATATGGGGGCTGAACCCCTACTTTGTTATAGAAAAAGAAGAAAAAATACAACATTTAGTAATGTCTGCATTGATTATGTTTGGGTTATGGCTGAGCTGGCCTCGGGTGCCACGTGTCACCTCTATGACCGCCTTATCACCTTGGCCATGTCGGCACCACATCATCGGATAAGCGTGACCAAGACAAGAGAGCGTCGTACGAATAAGGAGGACAACTCCACCGGGGATTAGGTCTTATCCCGAAGACCTCAACGGATAATCTCATCCCAACAACTCCGGAAGCCTCATCCGAATTGGACATGGATCTTCAGCTATAAGTAGGTAATCCCCGCTCGAGGTAAGGGACTCTGGACTTCCCGCATCCGTACTGTTACTCTGCTCGGACCAGCACTATTCTCCGAACTACTCGGCCCGACCACCCATTCTCTTCACTAACTTGAGCGTCAGAGTACCTATCCGAAAAATAACTCCTCGGGCCTCTGACCACTTTCTTGATTTTAGATATTGGAGTGCGGCTTTGTCCTTCCACCTCGGCTCCGCCCAGCTGACAGGACTATCTGACTTTGACCTTAGTTCAAGAAACACCTCGGATCGAGAAACATCAAATCAAACCCTAATAAATAAAAAAATAATAAAAATAAATTAATATATAAACACGCAAAATGAATAATTTAATTTAATAATATATATTTTATAATTATAAACTTAAAAAATAAAAAAATGTAAAAATATTTTACAACACAATTACAAAATTTCTTGACGATTAAACGAGGCGAGACTCCAAATGCACCTTGTCGCCTTGGCCTTCGCCTTTACAACTATGTCCTGGTCTTGGATTAATATAAGAACGCTACCTATACTACCAGTCTACCCACAACCACAAGACACTAAAGTGTGACAGCCAAGGGTCTTATGCTTTCACTTTCCCACATGAAAAAGGGAAAAAGAAGAAGAAAACAACAAGAAAAACAAAAGGCTCGCATAGGGAATTTTGTTTTCCTTCCATTTATATCAAACCAATTTAGAATTGGCAAAATAACAAACATTTAAATAGATGAAAGAAATTGTCTAGTTGAAAACAAGAATACGTATCAAAATATTATTTTTTGCTAATAATGTATTTCCAAAAAAACATTTTTGGTCTCCTGTCGGCCAGGCAGGAATGCAACTTGGATTTGGTTGGCTTGAAAATTTGTTAATGGGCCCGAATCCTAACCAGATCCTAATGTTGTTGATGTTCTGAACCCAACGGGTTAACCTTAACCCCTCTGACTATCCGGACCAGGCTAGCTTAAAAGCCTAAAATTACAGGTTAACACCATACAATTTTGCAAATGAATGGAGCCATGTCATATCAACCATAGGGATGTCAGTGGGTCAGGTTGATTGGTAAGTGTAACCCCACACTTATCAGACCCGGCCCATCAGACTATGGTCGGGTTCGGATTGAGGCAAATCCATTGACATTGCTGCATTAAAATATTTGCAAATATAAGTTCAGTTGAGCATAGATATACTACGTATTTCTTTATTTTTGGTAATCAGGAGATATGACAGAGTCGGGTTTGGATACAGATAGTTAGGTTTCCCTATCAGATATCCTAATTAAGCCGACCCATTTGACATCCCTAATTACCCAAATTACAATTTCTTTGTAAGCATTAGAAACTAGAAAGAGCAGGTTTCACGGGTACGATTGATATTAGATACAGGTAGTTAGGTTTCCCATCTACCCATTTCCGTGATCTCTAAGACGCTAGTACTGTGTGAAGAACAGCAAAATCATAACTCACCTACCAAAATCTTTATCAACTATTCACACGCAAAACTTCAATCCCCACCAGAACTTGCTCTTTAGAGTTAGAAGGGCAAGCCGCATTACCACCACGCTTGCAGTATCTGGATTACAGAAAGAGGTCAAGAGACTGACCCATATTAAGCTGGGAGCCCCATTCTTCACAAGTGATCTCTCTTAGACCAAGCATTAATTCACTAGATTTCTTTTGAAGCCCATCTACGTGAGTTTCTTACAAGGTTTTTAATTAGTTCCTCATAGAAACTACCAGGGTACCCATTTTTAACCCAATTGGGTCATTGACCCGATCAACTGCATAATTTTTCTTAGTTCTGGTCTTTTGGGTTAGTTCACAGTCTCACACAGGTCTTGCTCTTGCTGCCTTAGTTGTTCATCAACCCCTTAGAACCGGATCGCTTCCACTGCCCAGTCTTGGGATCCAAACTTAAAAAGTTTCCACAATTCTTGGTTCAACTGTTGAGCACTCAAAGCTGAAGTTCTCAATTTTTAGCATTTGCTATTAATATTAGTAATAGGTGGAGTCTAACTGTCTAACCACACACCACCAGTAACTTGGTCAAATCAGAGATTTCTTTGGGGCAAACAATGAGTGACTTGTGAACTTATAACAACTCTGTATCTCTGTCTCTGTCTGTCTGTCTGTCTGTCTGTCTGTCTCTGTGTCCGTCTGTCCATCTGTTGGTTCCAAAGAATCTTACAAATATAAAAGTGGGTGAGGCCAGATTTTCAGGTGGGCTAGTCGGTGAGGCTCATGTGGGTAGTCTCTGGCCAAGTGAGCCAAGAAACCAAATTCGCTTGAGCCTTGTGAGGAACCAGCTGAGTTACTCCACTTTTCTTCTCTTTGTCCGTCCATGTTTCACGCACTGACAACGAACCAGCACTGAATATAAAACCAGGAACAGGTGCAGACTACACAGGCGGCCTTCAAAGAAGACAAGACAAAGACCCAATTGGGAGATTGAGATTTGAGACAGAATGGCCAGCGCCAGCGGAGCTGCCAATGGATTGCTCCAGACCATCTTCTCAGGCTGCATAGCTGAGTGCAACACAGAGATCGAAAGGCGGCCTTACCATCGCAACTGCGGCTGCGCGCTGCACAAGTCTAGACGTGAGTGCTCCAAGGGGTTGTCCCGGAGTGGGACGGTATCCTACCCCATCAGACGGGCTTGGAGCGAGAGTTGCTTGGCCCTTGCAGCTGCTTCTAACCAGTCTTCTCCCTCTCCCACTTCACCTGCTAATGTACCTTCAAGAAAGGAGGGGACTCACTCAGGATTTCGTAAAGATAGCAGAGTTGAATGGGAGGCTTGATTTGCTGGATAGGAGCTTACTTTTGTTTTTTGTTTTTGCTTTTCAGATTCGTTTCAGTCAAATTTTAAAAGCTAGACCACCCAACTACCCAAGTTTTCTTCTCTGGTATTATTTTCTTAGTTTCCTTTTTTGTTTTTGAGTCCTTTACCCCTTGGCAACACAGAACGAGATGTTTAACTTGAGATCATCTTGCTGATTTTTCTAATATACAGATCATCTCCAATGAATTTCTCTCTTTTTTGGGTTTTATCAGAAGAAAAGCTAAAACATCTCACCAAAGGCCCATTTTCATTATTGATCAATCTCAAATAGGAAATGGTAACAAGCCTTTTTTATTTATCAAACACCATGAAAGAAGAATTAAGAGATTAGTCCAAAAAAGGCTGGAGACATCCGAAAGGCATATGTTAACAATAGTTTCTGTACCATGGGTGTAGCCATACGCTACATCCTCAAATCAAAACAGGCCACTTTGCCTAGTGTGCACATGGGAGAGTTTGCTAACATTGTGATAAGGGCAGGGTGACCTGTTTTTGATTGGGGATGCAGCCTAAGGTTACACTTATGGTGCAGCCAAATTGAACCCAAGTAAGTGGGAGCTACCTCCACTAATTTTGTTGAAGTTTGCATCTTGGTGTTCATCTATCTTTGTTTTTGAACACATTCACATTGTGTTGTTGCATATTTGCATAACATTTGAGCATAATCAACAATGCAACGCCCTCCTAATTCTGCAATGTTTTTGTCATAAATGATAGACTATTTAAAGTTTTTTAATTTTGTTACTGATGATTAATTACATTAATCAAAACCAAAATATGACAACTTAGATAAGTGGCAGGTTTACCTATTCATTATTCAATGTGCTTCATCAATCATCATAGGTAGGGTGCTCACGGTTTGGTTAACCAAACTGTGGGTTAATTATCGAAACCGAACTGGGGTTACAGGTTTTTGGAAAACTGGTAATCAAAATCGATCGATTAACTAGTTGATCGGTTCGATTAACCATCGGTTTCGTTTGTCGGTTGTTTGGTTTTTATTATTTATAATAATTATTATAGAAAAATATATATATTATTATATTTTAAATAACAAATAATATATTATATTATAAATATATATTTATATATAATGCATATTTATTAATTTATAATGTATAGAAAATATAAAATATATATAATATATATAAATATACATAATATATATAAATATATGTATACCGGTCGGTTTGATTAACCAAAACTGAACCGGTACTTTTGATTTTTTTTTTAAATATTGAACCGAAACTAAACCGACCAATTTGATTAACCAAATTTTTTATTTGGTTTCGATCGGTTTTTTCGGTCTATTCGGTTTTTAGTTTTTATTTCTCACCCCTAATCATAGGGGGCCCTAGTTATAGACATGCCAATTGCCCTTTTCATTGAGTGTAGAATATTGCTATTGCATTGGTCATTTTGTATAAATGCCAGTGTCTGTGTTCGATTTGTAGTTATGCTCATGTTTCATCTGATTCACATGAATACAACCCAAATTCTGTATGCTATTGTTGGTTCTGTAGCCAACAATCTAAAAATCCATAACAATATGAGAATATATCATTTTCATTAAAAAAAAAGGTTTATGGTTGTAGAACCATACTAGCAGTGATCATTTTCAACTAGTCCAGCTCAAAAATTCTAGGCTTGGGCCTAGGTTTTGAAATAAGGCCCTGTTTGCAATTTATGTATATAATACATATGTAGGTTTAATTTATTTATATTATAAATAATATGTATTATATTATTTATATTATAAAATGACAAATCTAATATACTATATGTAATATTTTATATTTATCTAAATTATAACTTATATTTTGTGCACATAGTATATTTTATGTATTTAATGACTTAGGCCCAAAGACCAGTCCAGCACAACCTGGGCCTGGACTTATATTTTTAGGATTGGGTCCAATTGGGTTGGGCCCAGGCCCAAGCTATAGACCTTAAGCATAGGTACTAAGCCCACCTGGACCCAATCCAGCCCATGATCACCCCTAAACAACAATCCCCTTTTTTCATAACCATGAACCAAGCGCTGCGATAGTTGATGCCAAACTTTTTGAAAAGCTAGGAAAGTCTCAGTAATTCTGAAAAAAAAAAGTATAAGTTAAATTACAGGAATGATAAATTACCTGATTGCCTTTAAAGCAAAAATTGAAACTAGGACCTAGGTGGCTTTTATGTTGGTTATTATGAAAATTCTAACACATAAATGGCTCAAAATTGATTTATTTATGCTACCACTTTAAGATAAAATCTTGGTTAAATTTGGTACATCACTTGGATGGACGAGATTAATATATTGCTTTGACCAGTTAGATGGCTTTGACTTTTGGACTGATTTTATACATTAGTTGGATGGTCTTGGCTAGTTTAAATCTTGGTATCACTTCAATAGCTTAAGCTGCTAATCTCTTCGCCATGTAAGCAGTGTACCAAGATTTCAATTAATCTTTATTAATTAAAGTATCAAAATTTCTAAAATATAAATATTTATACCAATTTTATAATATACAAAATTTGTCATTATTGCAAATTGATGAAATATCACCCCATATATACATCCGAAACACCAAACATTTTCTTTCGAATCATTGTTGACCTTTTGGCCCAGAAATCATTCAGGTTATCGATTCTGTTTCACCCTTAATTTGTTATTTGGCCAAAAAATCATTGATTCCATCAGTGACCTGTTGATTCAGACGTTTTAACCAAACAATGGTTTTAACCATTTTCTTTTTAATTTGAAATGAGCCATTCGTTCAAACTGGATGATCAAATAGCTGATAATGGTAATGGGCTACACAAGTTTGTATCGAAAACGTGAGCCCCATCATTTTATTTGGTTTTGCATCGAGCTAGATTCAATTCAAAATTGATCCCAATTTTTTTGTTTGGAAATGGGCTACACAACAGGGATAGCCCTCCCCTAAAACCCCTAGATTCCCAATCAAGTGAATGTGGGATTCGATCTCATGTGTCTCAGTTACAAGTAGATAGAAACTTTACTATTAGACTATTTAACATTGCAATGGATCCCCATCATAGCCCAAGTATTGTCTACTATTAACGGAGACCTATGCAATGTATGAGATTTGTTAAGCAAAAGCTAAATCAAGATTTTAAAAACCAACCCAGAAACGAAACCGTTATGGCCACCGATTTCTAGGTTGATGGTTCAACCATCTGGTTTGAGCAGATGGTATTTTCCAACGAAAAAAAGAAAAACAATTAAAATTAAAATGGCCAAAACCGTTGAATGGGAATATGTCAACGGTTCAACCGCCTAAGTCAATGGGTCACTGATCAATTCAATGGCTTTTGGCTAGGGACCGAGTTTGGGGTAAAACGGAACCGATTGCGTAGACGGTTCCCAGGTCGAACGGTCTACCATATGGGTCAATGTCAGCTCAAAAAGACTAAGCTAAACAGTAGAAACACATAAGAGTATACAATTATTTTATATTTTTAACTTTTTAAATAATGAAAAATTATTTATATTTTATATACTACTTTTAATAATTTTTTACAATATAAAAATAACAATAATTAATTTCAGATAGGGGTGTTCATAAAATTGATGAAACCGACCAACTTTCTAGTATTTCCGATCAACTTTGGTTCAACAATTTCCCAACCCGACCAACTTGGATCAGTTTTGCTTTGGCCCATTTGTAAACCGACCAAAATCGAACAAATGGGAAGGTGGAAAATTTATCATATTTCTTAGTCTAAAATATTTTATATCATCAGTTTAATTTTTAATAATGCCACTATTTTTTTAATTTAAATTTATTTTTTTAAGTTCAAATCATTTGAACCGATCAACCAAACCAAAAATTGACCCAAATTGATATGACCTGAGTTGCCAATTTTCACTAATGGTTAGTCAATTTCATGTAACCAACTCCCCAACCTGACTTGGTTGATTTGGTTGGCCAAACAATCTACAATCAAACTGAACAAACTCATGTATACTCCTAATTTTAGCTAAATTAATAGTCCAATCTCTAATAATTAACAATAGTTTAATCTCCAATAATTATTGAAAATTTATAATGAAAATACACAATTATGGAAAATATATTGATAATAAAAATATAATAAATAAATCATAAAAATATAATAATTACAAACAATGCAATAAATACTAAAATATGTTAAAATAGTCAATAAATAGTGTAATCTCAAATAATAGTTTAATCTTTAATAAACATTAATCAGTAAATTATAACAAAAATACAATAAGTACAATAATTAAATTTAAAAAGTTAAATAGCAGTAGTTTAATCTCCAATAATTATTGATTATTTTTGTTAAATAACAAAACAAAATTATATTTGTACATAATTATTGAAAATATATTTATCACAAAAAACAATAAATAATTATAGAAATACAATAACTATTAATTTTAGTGTATATAAATGTATAATAAAGATAGATTAAGATTTTAAAATTATTATTAATAAATATTAATTTTTTTAAAGTTATTTTCTAGAATTATTAATCGATATATGTGAAATTATATATTTAAATAGTATCATTATTTAAATTTTAAAATATTAGTTATTTATTGAATTTAGTAATCCATATAATTATAATTTATGCTATTATTACATAATTTATATTGTTAGTGTATAATTTTGTGATGGATTTTGTAAAAATTTAAAATTATTAATAATATGAATATTATTAAAACTATTATAATTATTTTTTTTGTGTTTTTAATAAATGTTTTAAAGTTATGATATAATTTCAATAGAGTATTTAAATAATTCTTAAATTTTTTAATTCAAACTTTCTTTAGATAGATATCGATAAAAGCGAAAATTCCCGATTAATACCCTATACTTTGAACCTAGTGCCACTTTGGTCCCCGAACTTTAAAATTCGACAATTCAGTACCCAAACTTTTAAAACATGACAATCAAGTACCTGTTGTTAACTAGCTGTTAACCAACCGTTAAGTGGCATTTGAAAAAGTCGCAGATGCCCTTCAAGTGTTATTTAATTTTCTTTATCGACCATCTAAATGTTGAGAAAAAATTAATAGTCCCAAATCTTTGGCTTTTCCATTCAAGAAAGTTGGGGTCACGTGTGAGTGGGCATTCTGGTGACCCCAACTTTCTTGA